CGACTATGGCGACATTTGGCTATGCGTCTGGAGCGCCTCATCCAGCTTCGTGAGAGAGGCATGCCTCGTGATTCTTACACGTGTGCTAACAAGATTCGTCGGTACAAGCCTTCCTCACGCGAAGGCCGACCTCCCGATGATTGGCCAGCATGGGTGGAGTCTGTGCGCTTCCTTCCTGACATGCCGTTGCAAGGTATTCGCGATCTCTGGCACGATCTTGATCTTAACTAAGGCCCATGCCTTGGAGGAGTCTGCAGTCAAGGATCCTCATAAGCATTGGTGCGAGTGGGCAACTGAAGAGGCCGCCAAATGCTCTTCCGCTGCGTTCCGCTTCATTCGTGGGGATGACTCTTGGTTGGGATTTCAGGTCGACCCTGAGGAGACCGAGGAACCTCCAGGTACACCCATGCATCACATTTTGTCGCCAGAGGTTCTGGCGTGGTCGGCCCTCTGCATGTCCAGATTTTCCGCGTTTTTCTTCCCGGCAGGATCTCGACGCATTGGTTCTTCCTACTCCCGCTCAGCTTCGAAAGCTTTCGTCGAAGTATCGCAGGATAACTTCAATTGGCGTCGATTGGTTGCACCCTCGGCACATTGGCCAATTAAGCGATGCAGCTCTGATTGGCTTAACTCCCATGTGGAGGTCGATGCTTCTGCTGGGACGCCCCCCCGACAGCTGGCGAGCATCGTCTTGTCCTTGTTGTCGAAGAAAGTTGGCGGGGATCGCCCCGTCGCGCGTTTCGCCACGAACATCCGGATTATGACACGATGGGATCGGCGTACTGTGGGCGCCCGGTTTGCAAAAGACACGTCGCGACCATATCTGTGCGGTGTCCGTGGTCGCTCTGTACGGCGTGCGTCTCGAAGCAGTCTATCATGGCGGAGCTTGCACACGCTCGCGGTTGGTCGTGTTTGGCATTTCTACTTGACATAGAGAAGGCCTTCGAGAATGTGATGCACCATAGCTTGGTTCCACGGGCACTAGAGTTGGGCTTCAGTCCTGTTCTCTCACGCTTTTTGGTCGAGCTATATCTCGGCCCTCGCTTCATTTCTGTTCAGGGCATTCCTGGAGAGGTTGCGCGGGCAACACGCACAATAGTTGCAGGGTGTGCATTCGCAGACCTCCTGATGAGAGCAACGTTACTCCGTGACATGGATTAGCAGGCGGAGAAATTCTGCTATTCTTAGTATGGTTTGGTAGCTGATGATATTCAGCGCCTGCTTATTGGAACTACAAAGTTTCTTCTTGAGTAAACGCCAGTTGTCGCCTCGTCACTCCTGAACGTGTTGTCGGTGTCTGCTCAGTTTCCAGTTTCTGTGCCCAAGATGGCCTTGTTGACGTCCGACGCGACGTTGGCCGATGGTGTCATTCAGGCTGTCCCTGCGCTCAGGTCCGCGCCCCGGGCCCAGAACGTCAAGAATTTGGGGGTCGACTTCGCGCTGCGGCCCCGGCGTGGGCTACTGCGCCACGTGCGCAAGGCACGCATCAAAGAAGTTATGCGTCGTGCAAGTCGCACGGCTCGTCTACGCAAGGCTGGTGCTTGCGTGGGGCGTCTTGTCCGTTCTGGTCCCCAGCCGTTAGTTCTCTATGGGTCTGGAGTTACAGGGATGAGCACTCTGCATATTAAGCAAATCCGTTCTGCTTATCGTGTCGCTATGTGTTCACGGTCTCATCGCTGTGTCACCATGGACCAAGCTATGGACAAGATTGTTAATCCCGCGGTTCCTGCTCATACCGATGTTGTGCTGACTTATACTGCTTATCGTTGGGATTCCCTGGTACCTCAGCACCTTGTGGACGAGGCTTTTCAGTGGGCGATTGACAATGATGGTATAGCCACCTGCTGGGACAGCCTTCATTGTCCGGCGTCGTCTACTGTGGTTACACTCTTGCGTCTGGGGTGGAGCTTCCAATCCACCACTCTCTGGATCAACCCGCAGGGCTTGCACATTGATGTTTCTGTCGTTTCCCCCCGCGATGTCGAGAAGATGGTGGCGTGGGACGCGGACGCATGGGGATGGCAGCAAACTGCCCCTCACCACCCCGCGTTGTCCCACCTCTCCGGTCCACCTTACTTACCACCGCTTCGCACTTTAGTCGGAACGTCTACGCCGGCGTGGGGGGGGCCTCAAGTTGCGGCACTCAGATCCGTCATTGCCGGAGCAGTGCATCTGGCTAGCCCCCGCTCTTTCTGCGAGGCGGCCCATGCGGATGAAACCTCTGCTACACGCCACCTTCTTTGGGATTGTGATGGCACGCAGTCTGATCGATAAGCTTATGGTTTCCTGCTCACGTCGAACGTGTTCGTGCTCTCTTTCCTGATGATCCGCTTTGGTACTCCGCCCTAGTCCCTGATCCAGAGAGGTTGTTGCCACATCCAGCTATGGATTTGGACATTATATGGTTCCTTTTCGGTGATCCGCAGGCTGTGCCGCTACTTGCGTCTCCTGTCTTTGGCGACGGTTCAGGCTTGTATGGCCCTTCGCCGAGAGCATTGCGCTGCGGCTTCTCCGCGGTAGCCGTGGGGCCATCCGGCGAGGCGCGCGTGGCCGCCTACGGTGCGTACCCGGGTGCTTATCAATGCGTGCCTGGTGCAGAAATTTTGGCGCTGCTAGTTTTCCTACTGCATGCTTTGCCAGATTCAAATGGTAGATATGTGTATTACAGAGACTGCCAGTGGGTGGTGGATTCTTGGCACGCCCCGATTTCTCACGTTGTGTCTGGTTGGAGCCCCCACTCGGGCATATGTTCTCGCATTCATGCGAAAGCTGCCGACATCGGTTACGACAGCATTCAAGTGCACAAGGTGAAGGCCCACCTCACTGTCTTATCACCTGCCCAGGCCGCCTGGCTAACAATGGGGAATGATCATGCTGACAGGTTTGCTAAGATTGGTGCTCGGCGTCATCCTGTTGACGCAGCTGCTATGGATCGTCTGACTAGGTCGCGTATTGTAGTAGAGCGCATTGGCAAATACATAGGTTTTGTAATGTGTCGTGTTCTACCGCGCCTCAATGAGATTCCTCGCCCTCCCCGGGCTGTCCTCCCTCCTTGGCTCTGTCCTCCACAACCCCGAGCGGCTGTTGTGACGCCGCCGACGGGAGTCCCACAGGAGCTTGCATGGGACTCTTCTATGCAGCGCTTTAGGTGCATAGCCTGTTGGGCCTCCAGCCATTGCAAGTTCGAGCTGTACAGGGCCCCTTGTCAGGCCCCCCATGGGTTCGGCCATGTAGTCATGCGTACTGGTACGTACGTCTTCTGTAAATTATGTGGTTCGTACTCGTCCACGAATGTTGGACACCTTCACAAACTGTGTAACAGGCGTCCAACATCGACGTCCGGCAGGGATAGGCTCGGTTATTTGATGCAGGGACCGGACCCCAAGAGTAAACAGTCCATTGGTCCTGTATTGCCAGCAGTGACCCGGTTTTATGATGAGCTGGGGGACCCATCAGTGGTGTCTCTTAGTCTGGCACTTGTGCCCCACCTTGTACCTTAATGCTCCCCAGTGTTGGGGCCTGTGCGGGGCGAGCGGCTCGCGCAAAGCGCGGTCGCCCCCTCTCCTTGCTCTTTTCTCTTTTCTTGGACCTGCCTCCTCGGAGGCAGGCCACCGTCCTAGTCCTAGTCCTAGTCCTAGTCCCCCTCCCTCTGGCAATTGCCAATCCTCTGGGACCCAGTCCGCCTTTTGTCTGCTCGAGGACGTCTTGCTGCTGAGCTGCCTGTGTCTCTCCTCTTTGCTCGTCCGCTTGCTCCTCCTCCTCCCCCTCCTCCTTGTCCTCCTCCTCCTCCTCCTCCTAATCCTCCCCCCTCCTCCTCCCTCCTGCTCCTCCTCCTCCTCCTCCTCCTCCTCCTCCTCCTCCTCCTTCTCCTCCTCCTCTTCTCCTCTCCCCCCCTCCTCCCCCTCCTCCTCTTCTTCCTCCTCCTCCTCCTCCTCCTCCTCCCTGCTCCTCCTCCTCCTCCTCCTCCTCCTCCTCTTCCTCCTCCTCCTTCCCCTCCCCTTCCCTCTGGCAATTGCCAATCCTCTGGGACCCAGCCCACTTCTCGTGTTGCCACTCTATTGTTTGCTAGAGGACGTCTTGCTGCTGAGCTGCTTGTGTCTCTCCTCTTTGCTCGTCCGTTTGCTCCTCCTCCTCCTCCTCCTCATCCTGCTCCGCTCTCCTCCTCCTCCCCCCCTCCCCCTCCTCCTCCTCCTCCTCCTCCTCCTTCCTCCTCATCCTCCTCCTCCTCCTCCTCTTCTTCCTCCCCTCCTCTCCTCCTTCCACCTCCTCTCCCCCTCCTCCTCCCTCCTCCTCCTCCTCCTCCTCCTCCTCCTCCTCCTCCTCCTCCTCCTCCTCCTCGGGTCGCCTACGGCCCCGGGGCGAACCGTGCAAGTCGGACATGTCCCTCCACAGGAGGAATATGCAAAAATAGTTCGAACATCGTCTGGGAACGATTTTTCTACTATCGTTGATCATGCTCTGAACAAGGTTTTAACATTTTTAAGTTTCGTCCAAAATCCGCCTGCAGGAGAACATGCCCGACCCAACGCTAGGCAGACGTTCTTCACCAGCATCAGTGCCGCCAATGTGGCCCCTCCTGGAACTGGGGCGTGGGAAAAGAGGCGTCCAGGGAGCCTCGGTCGCAGACCAGGAGTGAAACCGAACCGGTGTTCGGGCGATTTCGTGGGCCGTTTTCGGTTCGACTTCGTTTTGCGGTAAAGAAGGCGGCTCGGAGACAAAACGCGGGACAACGGAAACACAGCAAAAGCGAAAAGCACTGTTCAGGTCGATTCCTGTCGCAGACGTCAGTGCCTTCCCAGGCCAGCCACAACTGGGGGAGCTGTGGTCCCTACCCCCCTGGGGGACCCATCGATTTCGACACCCCTCTCGAGAGATCGTCGATGCGGTGGGTTCCCCCAGGGGGGTAAGGATCACAGCTACCCCAGTTATGGCTGGTCGGCTTCCCCACCTCCGCTGATTCGCCCCCGTCAAAGGTTTTCACAAACATCAAGACCCCTGAGATGTGCGCGGATACCTGCGCGGAGCTGCAAGGCTGCTCGGGTGGTGGGAGGCCAGGGGAGGCCCTCCTCCTCCCCCTCCTCCTGCTCCCCCTCCTCCTCCTCCTCCTCCTCCTCCTCCTCCTCCTCCTCCTCCTCCCTCTTCCTCATCCCCCTCCTCCTCCCCCTCGTCCTCCTCCTCCTCCTCCTCCTCCTCCTCCTCCTCCTCCTCCTCCTCCTCCTCCTCCTCCTCCTCCTCCTCCTCCTCCTCCTCCTCCTCCTCCTCCTCCTCCTCCTCCATCCTCCTCGTCATCGTTCTCCTACTCATCTCATCCCCCTCCGTCCCCTTTCCCTTTGAAAGATCACTCTGTCCCCGTTGCCTCGCCCGCCTGTTTTCTCCCTCGTCCCACTCCCCCCCTTTGTCCACTTCCTCCTTCCTCGTCATCCTCCTCCGCCGCCACTTCCTCCTGCTTGGCCCTGCCCCTCCTTCCCAAAACAATGCTGCACTTGCACCTGCGAGTGATTACTTCTGCTGCTCAAAGAGCTGTTCAGGGTGTGCCGGGCTGTCGGATGGTGCCTGGTTGCCGGGCGTCCATGGGCGCTTGGTGCGCTGGGTGGGACTGCCAAGGTTCCGCCCGGCGCCCGCCCGTGGGCCCCTCGTCAGCTTCCCGCGCGCTGGCTGGGTGGGGGAATGTTCGCACGGTGCCCGCCCGTGGGAGCCTCGTTTGCGCCTTGCGCGCTGGGTGGGCGCGCGGAGGTGTCGCCCGGTGCTCGCTCGTCGGCGCCCCGTGGGCACCCCGTGCGCGGGCCGTGCTCCGAGGCTTCGGATGGTGCCTCTGCGGACGCCTCGTGCGCCTCGTGCGCTGCGTGGCTCTGCAGAGGTTTCGCCTGGTGCCCGCCCGTGGGCGCCTCGAAGGCGCCTCGTGGGCGCCCCGAGCGCTGGGTGGGCGTGCCAGGATTTCGCCCGGCGCCCGCCCCGAGGGCGCATCGAGGACGCCTCGCCCGCGATGCGGGTGTGCGGAGATTTCGGCACCTCTGAGTGACCTTTTCCAAAGGGCGCCCTCGAGGGCGCGAAGTTATTCGCGCTTCGCGGTTCGGCTCCGATTCCTCATCCTCCTCTTCTCCCCTGGGAGGCGGCGCGAGAGCGCGAAGTTTTTCGCACTTCGCGCAGCGCGAAGCGCGAAGTTGGGAGCCCTTGTTTTCCTCTCTCCCCCTCCGCGGCCGCCGTCTCTGCCCTCGTCCCGCTCTTGCACGCTGGCCAAGTCGCTCTTCGGTGCCCCCCATCTATCTCTAGCGCTGATGCAGCCAGCTCCGCCTCGCCGCCGACGAACAAGTGTGCAGAGGTTTCGCTCAGTGCCCGCCCGTGAGCGACTCGTGGGTGCCTCGTACGCTGGGCGGCAGCATAGACTGCACGACCTAGCTTTTTTATCGCCTGGGGCGTTCCACAAAGGGCCTTGCCTTCGAGGATCGAAGGAGCTCGGCGGAAGGCGGCGGAAGCAAAAGATGTGCCCCCAAGAGATGAAAACAGGTTTCCCGAAATCGCCCACATAGTTTGGACCACATTACTTACACGCATGGCTAACACCACATAGCTCATAGCACGCAGCTTCTGCCACAGAGCATCTTCCACATATGTTGCACGGCACATCCTACACCACACAGCTTACACCACGTAGCTTGCACCGCATGGCTTACACCACGTGTTCGGTATAGCTTCCGCCACATAGCTTGCACCACATACGGCGCGCATCCCCAGTGCAATAACGTATTGCCCTGGGCCCATGCTGGCACATGCGTTCTTTCGTGACCAGATTCCTCTCCCCTTCCCTCGGTACCTCTCTCCCTCCCTCCCGCACTGCATTGCTCCTCCTATTTCTCGTTCTCTTCCTCCTCTCTCGTATCTTCCCGGAGATGCCAGCTTGCGCTGTGATGCATGGAGCCGTGAGTGGTTCCGCCCATCCTGACACTAGGTGGGCACATGAGTCTCTAGCAGGCGAGGGTGAGCTGAGAGCACCCGCCGTTCGCTACTGTGCCTTAACGATTTGTCACCTGGGCGCAAGGAAGGATTTGGCTTACATCTTCTGTGTCAGGGCGACTTCCCAGACCGACTCTGCTGAGGTGTAAGCTGGCTATCAGGTGAACAACGTGGGGTGTGGGGGGGGCGGCGGCGTGGGAGTGCTGCGGAGCCGAAAAGAGAGCGATATAGGGGCACAGAGAGAGAGGGAGATAGAGAGCGAGGGAGAGGAGGAGAGAGAGAGAGAGAGAACTAACGAGAACGAGAGACACAGAGACAGATCAAGAGCGACAGAGAGATATGCGAAAAAGAGAGACTGAGAGGGAGATGGTCGTCTCGAGACATTGAGAATCGCACATCTGTATACGCATGCATGCATGCATGCATGCATGCATACAAACGTACATACATACATGCATGCATATACATATATTTATAGATATAGACATACATACACACGTACGTGCATGCATACCTACATACACATACTCTCGCAACCACACATGCATACGCACATACATACATACTTGTCTGCATGCATACATGCACACATGCATTCACACCTACACATGCACGCACACATGCATGAATGCATACATACATGCATACATCCATGCATGCACTCATACATGCATGCATGCATGCATGCATGCATACATGCATACATTCACGCATGCGTACATACATGCATACATACATCGATGCATACATACATGCATACACGTGCAGTCATACCTGCTTGCACGCATGCATGCATACATGCATGCATGCGTGTCACTGCATACATGTATGCATACATGCACACACGCATACACGCATGCCCACATACCTACCTACATACATACATACATACATACATACATGCATGCATACATACATCCATGCATGCATGCATGCATGCGTGCGTGTATGCATACATGCATACATACATATATACATCCAACCACACATACATACATACATACATACATACATACATACATACATACATACATACACACACATACATACATACATACATACACACTTACATACATACATACATACATACATACATCATACATACATACATGCATACATACATACATGCATCTATGCACATATACATACATGCACACATACATACATGCATGCATATCGACATGTGTGCATACATGCATGCATATAACATACATGCGTGCATACAGACATGTAAACACGTACACATGCATACATGCATGCATGCATGCATGCGTTCATATGTATGCATATATGTTTATAGGTGTTAACATACAAACATACATGTATACTTACATATATACATACATACAAGCACACTCACATGTATACATGCATACATATGTAGATACATACGCACACGCATACATACATGTATGCACACATGTATGCATGCATACATGCATGCATGCATGACTGCCTGCACGCATACATCTACACGTGATGTTAGACATATTTAGATATCGAAGCATATATATATATATATATATATATATATGTGTGTGTGTGTGCGTGTGTGTGTGCTCGTGTCTTTCAATTGCCGGGAGCCCGGCCCCGGGGCTCTGGGGTCGCAGCCCACCAGGGGCACCCAGGGTCCCGGAAGGGCCACCTCCCCTCCCGGAGCCTCCCCGGAGCCGCCCCCCGGGCTCCCCCCGAAGGCTCCCCGAGCTCTGCAGAAGTTCCAAGGAGCCCCAAGACGGTCATAAGAGGCACGCGGGCTCCACGAGCCTCCCCGGAGCCGCCCCCGCCCCCTCCCCAGAGCTCCCCCCGGAGGCTCCCCGAGCTCTGCAGAAGGTCCGAGGAGCCCCAAGACGGTCATAAGAGGCACGCGGGCTCCCAGAGCCTCCCCGGAGCCGCCCCCGCCCCCTCCCCAGAGCTCCCCCCGGAGGCTCCCCGAGCTCTGCAGAAGTTCCGAGGAGCCCCAAGACGGTCATCAGAGGCACGCGGGCTCCCCCAGGAGGCTCCCAGCGCCACTACGGGGCCCCAAGACGGGACGGTCCCAAGAGGCCCCTGGAGCGCCCTCGGAGAGTCTTCGATGGACCAGATCAGTGAACACCCACAGGATTCGTATGACTGTTGGTTTGTTCTGGAGTTTTCAAGTGTTGGCAACATGTAGCTTTAAGTCTGGCCCGTCTCTCTACAGGAGGAGTATCCAAACATAGTCAAATAATGGTCTGGGGGCGATGTTTCTGGGAAAATTGGTTTGGGCTATTTTTGATTTTGTCGTCCAGAATCCCCCTGTAGGGGGACACGCCCGACCCAAATGTAGCTCCAAGATGGCCTCGGAGCCACAAGAGGTCCCCAAGAGAGCCCCCCGAGATTGCCCCACGACTGCCCCGCGGGAGAGCCAAGAGGGCCGACGTCGGCCTCTCCAGAGGAGCAAACGGCCCCACGAGGGCCTCAAGAAGGTCCCAAGAGCCCCTGGGCTCCCCCAGGAGGCTCGCATCACTACAACTAAGTCGGGCGTGTCCCCCTGCAGGAGGAATATTCAAAGGCAGTCAAGAAATAGTCGGGGGAGGATGTTTGGAGTATGTGCGAACATGTTTGGAACATTGCTCGACTTGTTGTTTAATGGTCCGTCCATAATCCGCCTGTAGGGGGACATGCCCGACCTAACACTACAAAGAGGCCCCAAGAGGCCGATGGAGTAGCTCGACAGGTCTTTCAAGAGGGGCAGATCAGTCAAAAAATAGCACCAGGTGCGACCCCAATTAGGGGATTGTTGTTCCTATTGCATGGGCGCAGCGCTTGGCATTGCTTGGCATTGCTTGGCATTGCTTCGCATTGCTTCGCATTGCTTGGCATTGCTTGGCATTGTTTGGCATTCCGTGGCATTGCTTGAAACGGGCACAGTCAGAATACGAGGCAACTGGGACTGGGAACCCGGAGAACCCGAGGAACCTCGGGAACCCGGGAAACCCGGGGAACCCGAGGAACCCGGGGAACCCGGGGAACCCGTGGGCAGAAGGCAACGTAAGAATCTGAGGCACCGGGGGCGGGGAACTTGGGGAACCTTGGGAACCCGGGGAACTTCCGGGCAATTGGCAAAGTAACCGCCTCCCGAAACACCAACCTTTAACAAAGTAAGAACCCCGTAGGCAAGCCTAATCGGTGAACATCAGGAGGAAGTCCCACGGTTGTTTCGTTATCTTGTGAAATTCCAATGTGTTGTCAAAGCGTGGTTCCAAGATGGTCTCGGAGGCCCAGAGTATCCCAAACATTGCCCAATGATGCCACAAGGGAGCCCCGAATACCAAGCCTCAGTTCGGCTTCAGACCCCAAGCCAAGGATCTGACGACCATCTGGGCACGGCCCCCCTGGCGCACCACACGCTTGGCCCCACGGCGCGCAGAATTCTAGCGTGCGCGACGCGCGCGCGATGGTTCTAGTATGCGTATATACGAACGAGAGAGACAGAGAGACAGAGAGAGAGAGAGAGAACAAAAAAAAGCGAGAGAGAGAGAGAGAGAGTGTGAGAGAGAGAGATACACAATCTACAAGATTGCATTGGCGCTTTGCGTCGTGCACCTAGGTCCGTCATGTTCAACATGCAGGCAGAATGAGAGAGAGGTAGATCAATCAACACTGCGATCGCTCTTGGTTGCAAAGTTCGCCATCACCGTTATCATATTGGCGTTCCTTCTCCTTCCTTCATGTGTCCGCTTCCTCTTCCCCTTCCGCTTCCCCGTTCTCGCTGTAAGTAGCCCGCGAACCCTTCCCCATCCTCTTCAGATTTGTTAGCGGAAGCTCCTCCGCGGCGAGCTTCTGGTGGACTTCGCGAAAGTTTTTCAGGGGTTGCTTGGGCGCCTCTGAAGACGTCTCTGGCGATTTTTGGCGGCCTCTGGGGGGGTCCTCGGGCCACCATGCTGCGAAGCGCGGTCTCGGGTCACGATTTGAATGCTTCCGGAGAGCGTGTTCGGGCAATTTTGGGCCGTCATGGGGCCCTCTATGGGCAGTTTCTGGGCCCTCTTGGACCGTCTTGGGGCTATCTATGGGTATCAGGACTAAGTTTTCTGTTCGTCTTTTTGGTGCCTCTCCAAAATCATGCAAAAAACAACGGGCATCTTTTTGCTGCGTTCCGATAGCTGCTCCTTGGAGGTGATCTTTGGGCCGCTTTCGGGCGTCTGGCGGAGGCCTGGGGCCGTTGGGGGCCATCTTGGACCGTCTTGGGGTCTCTTCGGACCGCCGCCGATCCACTGCACGGCCTGGCAGGGACTTTCAAAGGCTCAGAAATCTCGCGGGACCCTCTGAGCCGCTGAAGCCCCGGACACCGGGGATCCCGTTTCGGGAAGAGGGGGGGCCAGGGGCTCCGCAGCGTCCAAGATTATGAAATAGAAAAAGACATCAAAGGGCCTTCGGCCCATCCCGCCTTTTTGCCTGGTTGAGGGTCAGGGTTCTACGGAATGCCTCTTCGGGTCTCTTCGGAGCGCCCTCGGGCACTCCTGGGAGCTTCTCGGGGGGCCTCGTGAGGGCCTCTTGGAGCCTCTTGGGGGCCTCCTGGGGCATCTTGGGGCCTCTTGGGGGCCCTCTTGGGGGCCTTCTGGGGGTCCCATCGGGACCGAGGGCTCGAAATGTCCGCTCGGGTTCCCCATCTGCGCCCCCTGTTGGAGCCGTCTTTGGGCCCTCTTGGGCCATCTTGGGCGCCCCTTGGGCCGTCGTGGGGCCCGCTACGGGCCTTGCTGGGGGGCCTCTGGGGCCGTTGTGAGGCGATCTTGCGGGCCGTTTCGGAGCGTCGGGAAGCAAAAACGGCGACAACGCCAAAGTCCTTCAAACACGTAAGGGTAGTTAATGATGTTTGAATATCGTGGCCCTCTGAGGAGGCCACTTGGGGGGCGTTCTGGTGGTTTGTGGGGCCGTCTTGAGGCCATCTTGGACGTCTTGGAGCGATCTCGGCGATGCGTGGCCCTCTTGGGCCGTCTTAGGGGCCCGTCACGGGACCTGTTCGGGGCCAACAAAGTCATGCGAGAAGATGCACCGGAGCCCAAGTGAACCGCGCCAAGCCCAAGAAGATTTCAGAATGTGGGGTCCGGGTCCTTGAGAAATTCCTCAGGAGTGAGGATTGAGGCTTCAGGGATGAGGCAAAGGACTTGAGGACACGCCCACTCCGTGCCCAACAGCACGGACGGATTTTGATATGCGTGTCTGCGTATGTACATATCTGCATTTAGATAGATCGACAAATAGACCGATAGAGCGAGAGAGAGAGAGAGACAGAGAGACAGAGAGCTTGGGAATGATGCTCAGCCGATCCCAACCGTGCCCAGGGTGCACGCATTTCACGTGGCTTGACCCGACAAAGCAGCAGGAGGATGACGGGCGCAGCTGCTACCTGAAGCACGGCGAGCAGCGCAAGAAGAGCAACTCGACCCGCGGGGTGTCGGGCCTAGCGCGAGAACCTGCTGGGCAGAAGGGGCCAACGAGGCGAGCGGAAGGTGAGCAGGAGGAGGAGGAGAGTACAGTCGGCCCAGATTGGTAGGTCGACCCTGCCAGCTCAATGGCGCCCTTGTGTCCTGTGCCTCGCGACACGTGCCTTCTTGGCACTCCGATGGCGATGTGGCCCTCGGAAGTGTCCTCTCGCGTGTCCTGTCCAATCAAGGCTGACTGTAAGATTGGGGTAAATGCCTCCCCGGCCAAGCCAGGAGGGCGCTTCCTCCCTCTGCGCTCTGCACACGGGCCACCCACTGCGCGAGAAGCCTGGCCAGGATCTCTCTGTCGGCGGACCGAGGAGCGGGAGGAGCAGGGACGAGTAGGACGAGGAGGAGGAGGAGGAGGACGAGGAGGACGAGGACGACGAGGAGGAGGACGAGGACGACGAGAAGGAGGGCGAGGAGGAGGAGGAGGACGACGAGGAGGAGGAGGAGGACGAGGAGGAGGACGAGGAGGACGAGGAGGAGGACGAGGAGGAGGAGGAGGACGAGGAGGACGAGGAGGAGGAGGCGTTTCCAGAAGGGGCCCCCTCGACGACGGGCCCCGAGCGACCTGAGCACCTCTCCCCCCGGTCGGCGGGAGCACGCGGGGCGCCTGGGGAGGCCGGCGGGCACTGGCATCCCACCGGAGCGTTGGGACGACAGTCGGGGCGCTGAAGGAGGATCCTTTTTCGTTGGCGAGGGGCTCCGTGTTTCTCACAGTCGGCCCAGATTAGTAGGTCGACCCTGCCAAGACAAGGGTACCCTTCTGTCCTGTGTCTCGCGACCCATGCTTCCTACATTCCTGTGGCGATGTGGCCCTCGGAAGGGTCTTGTGTCCTCTCGCGTGTCCTGTCCAACCAAGTCCGACTGTAATTGTCACACAGTTTGCCTTAGGTTGTCCTTAGGTTCTCGATGGGAAGTCGAAGTTTCACTTCTGGAAGAAGGGGGTCTCGTTCCTGATTTAGGGTTCCTTAGGTCAGCGCCCCGACCCTAGGTAATTGGAAAGATCGGCACCACGCTTGCCCCACGAATGAAACGCGTATTCAGACGTATTCATCTACCGCAGGAAGTCTCCAGGCCAGAGTACTTGCGGCACACTTTTTTGGCGTCGGTGGCTAGGCAGGGGCCGTCTCCGCTGGCGGAAGGAGCTAAGGGGCCACCCATACACACTACGGTGTGATTGATACACTGCAGTGCGGCTTGCTGCTCGGACATGGTAGCCTTCTCTGCGCTCGAGACGCTTTGCGTCTGGATTGCTGTCGCCACGTTTGACAAGAGGTTGACCGCGAGCCGGGAACTACGCACTGGCATCTGGCCACAGTCCGATCTACGATTGCGAAGGCCTTATGGCCGTTGCCGCCGACCCTGAGAGCGACGAAGATGAAAACGAGGGGGGGGCAGGGTGGAGGATGTGGATGAGAGAGGAGGAGGGGGGAGAAGGATGTGGAGGAGAAGCAAGAGGAGGAGAAGGAGGCAGAGGAGAGCAGGAGGAGGGGGAGCAGAGGGGGGGGGGAGGAGGAGGAGGAGGAGGAGGAGGAGGAGGAAGGAGGAGGAGGAGGAAGAGGAGGAGGCCAGAGGCGTTCGCGGGACAGCCTGTGGCTCTCCTGAGGCCGTCTTGGGCCGTCCAGGGCTCCTCTTGCGCCGTCTCGAGGCAATCTTGGAGGCCTCCTGGGCAATTTGGTGCTCTCCTGGGCTGTCTTGGAGCAGTGTGGAGGCCCCTTGGGAGCCTCTTGGGGCCTCTTGGGGCTTCTTCGAGGCCTCTTGGGGGCCTCTTGGCGCTGAGAGCTCGAAATGTCCGTTGTGGTCCCCCGTCTGGGCACTCTCCTGGAGCCGTCTTGGGGGCCTCTTGGGCCGTCTTGGAGGCATCTTGGGCCGTCTTGGGGCCCTCTTCGGCCGTTAGGGGACCCTCTTGGGGGCCTCTTGGGCCGTCTCGGGGCGATCTTGGGCCCTCTTGGGCCGTCTTGGCGCGTCGGGAAGCGGAAGAGGCAAGAACGCCAAAATCTGTCAACAACGTATGGACAATCCATGCATTTTGCCGCTTGGGGCTCTCGAGTGAAAGCTCCTGGAGGCCTCTCAGGGACGCTTTCCAGGCCTCTTTGGCCGTCTGGAGGCCGTCAAGGCGTCTTGGACCGATCGTTCGGCGATTCGGGGTTCTCTTGGACTGTCTTTGGGACCTCTTGGGACACTCTTGGCCCATCTTGGGGCTTTTTTGAGGCTCCGGGACTCCCAGGGGGGCGTCGTATCTGACTCCCCCCCCCTGGGGCGTCTGATCCCCCCCCCCCGACGGGGGAGGGATCGAAGGGAAAGGGCTTCCCTTCGACTCAATTACGACGTTGCTTATTTTCGCTTTGGCTGGCGCGCTGAGGATGTCCCTGGGAAAGGGGGGAGCTTCGACGAGCCCAGGGAAGGGGGGGAGGCAGGGAAAGGGGACGACAGAGACGACGACGAACGAATGACGGAGATGACGACTTGAACGGACAAGCCCCTCACACACGCCGACAGGGTCGGCGGATTTTGTCGAGGTACTGGACGACAGTCGTAGTATAAAGGTCGATGCAGAACGTACGGCAGCCCTGCACGACGATTCGATTAAGCAGTTGCAGGTCCCCCAAGGAGAGGTAGGACATATGTAGATGCCGGTGCGACGAGCTGGGAAGGCGACAGTGCGGCCTGGAGTGTTGTCGTGATTGTTGTTCGACCTCCCTTCTGCGCCTCATTATTTCCGCCCTGCGTTTGCATTGAGGAGTCCCCTTCCCATCAGTTGGGAAGCTGGCAGTTTTCATCATCGGGTGCTTGCGCAGGAAAGCAACAATCTGCCATGATCAGTGGGGCGACCCATCATAATCAAGGGTGCCCTTCGGACGGGTCTGGACGAGGATGAATTCGTTCTGGAGCCTGGAACGCTCTGAAACGGTCGCGGCGCTCGAGACATCCTCCAGAGCCGCTGGATCTCAGAGATTTTCGATTTATCCGCACCCGATTTGTCCTCGTTCTGGCTTCGTCTTAGTGCCCTTGTGTCACGTCTGTCACCCCGCGTGTCCTCCTTACAGCTGGAGCATACGATGCCCTCGGAAGAGGCTCGTGTGCTGTTGGGTGCCCCCTGCAGTCGCTCCAAGCCGCAGGAGGATGCGGAGGCGGATGAGTAGGGCGAGGACGAGGATGCGGAGGAGGAGCAGGAGCAGGAGGAGGAATATCTAGAGGATCGACGAGGGTACGGAAACATCGGATACGAAGACTAACAGCACATGTTGCCCGTTTTGAATGGAAATCGCTGTCGGTTTCGCTGCGGACGTTGTCCATTTAAGACAGAAGGTCGCCTGCCCAAAAGCGGCCGCTGTCGTTTTGGACAACATTTGTTGTTGGGTATCCTACCCATCTGTCCGCACAGCCAACCCGTATCAGAAGGATGCGCGATGAGGCTGCAAGGGCTTTGGAGGGCCAAGTTGACGTTTTTCCAGCGAGGTTGGCCAGCGAAAGTCGCTGAGGATGGGCCGAAGGGGCAAGGATGCAAGGGTACCATTGGGAAGGTCGCCCATCCTTCCTGTGCGGGTTGACTGTGCCCATCTCGGGCATCCAAAGAAGAGGAGGCGGAGGCGGAGGCGGACCCGCTGCTCCTCCTTGCGTCGCCCCGCCGTCTCGGCATTCCTCGACCCGGGGGGAAGCCTCCCCTTTTTTTAGCCGTGCTCCAGCCTGCGGTTACACGCGCACCATCCCCCCTCGGCACGCACCCCCTGTGCATTCTCTGTCGACGGCGGCCATCCAGGAGCATTCTGGGCCGTCCTGCGACAGAAACGACACGCACGAGACCGAGCAGTGCGCGGGAGACTGGCCGTCCGAGCGATGGCGAGCAGGTTCTCGCGCCGCTTGGGAGAAATTCCCGGAAACGTTTTCCTACACATTGCTCATGTCTAAGTATTCGAAAGTTCTTTGATTTTTTGGGGGGCCAAGATCCTCTCATTTCTAATTGTTCTATCTTGGGCCTCTTCCTGACCACAAGGGGGCCAGGAACAATTGGAAACGAGCACAATTAGAAATGAGCACGATTAGAAATGAACGACATGTACTCAGTCCCACTACGTTTCCGGGAAGCCTTTTCTGCAGATTGCTTCCGAAGCTCTCTGGGGCCTCTTCTGCGACTCTTCCCCTCTCGAGCCTGCACGCTATCTTGGCATCCTGCCAAGAGTCCCAGCAAGCCTCTCCCGGGGGAGGGGGAGGGGGCGAGCTCGAGGCGGAGGCGGCGGAGGAGGAGGCGGAGGAGGAGGAGGATGGGGAGGAGGAGGAGGAGGAGGAGGAGGATCGAGATTCGAGGTTCGAGGTTCGATGATGGAGGATCGGGGAGCATAATTGATCACCCCAATCACCGCCTACACGACCAGGAGAGCGCCTACTTCATGCCCTTGCGGGCCCTTTCTCCTTATCCTGGGTCTATTATGCCAAATGTGATCCTGCTGCGCTTACCTGGGTCCAACTTGTCCGTGACAGCGCCTGAGACGGTGCCTTCTCCCCCCGCCGCCTGTGCACAAATCCAGACGCTACGATCTCAGTCGATCTAAGTTCGCCCAGCGTCACAGAAGGAGGAGGGTCGGACAGGGCTACGGCGAGGATAAATCCGTTCCGAAGCGTTCCGGAACGCTCCCAGAGCGTTCCGGAACGCTCTGAGAAGGCCGCGGTGCTCGAGACATCCTCCAGAGCCGCCGGATCTCAGAGATTCTCGATTCATCTTCACCCGGTTATATCCTCTTCTGGGCTTCGTCTTAGAGGAGGTTGCATGGGCCACCACGGGAGCACGGGCCACCACGTTGGCACCCCCGAGCCCCGCGCTGACCTCGCCCCGCCGCGAGGGCCCCCCTGAGGGCACACGGTGGCGCAGGAGGAGGAGGAGAAGGAGGAGGAGGAGGAGGACGAGGAAAAGAAGAAAAAGGAGGAGGAGGAGGAGGAGGAGGAGGAGGAGGAGGAGGGGGAGGAGGAGGAGGGGGAGGAGGCGAGCTCGAGGAGCAGGGGGAGGAGGAGGACGAGTTGGAGCAGGAGGAGGAGGAGGAGGAGGAGGAGGAGGAGGAGGAGGACCGATGCTCGAGGCTTGAGGATCGAGGATGAGGAGTACGAGGAGGAGGAGGAGGAGGAGGAGGAGAAGGAGGAGGAGGAGGAGGAGGAGGAGGCTCGAGCCTCGAACCGCCCTCTTCTCCTCTGCCTCGATCCTGGAGCCGTCTTCTTCTGCTCCCCGAGCCTCGACCCTCGAACTCCGAGGATCGGCCGAGGGCGGCGCGGCGGCCGAGGTGGTCTCCGGCGTGTGCCGGCAGGCGCGCAGCGTCGTGGTCGCGCACGCTCCCGCGGGCTGGCTCCGAGGCAGGCCGGCCGGCAGTTGCGGAGCAGCAGGGCGGGGCGGTTCGCTCGGCTGCCCGCGCAGGGCTCACGTCGACGCGATCGATCCTCAAGCAGTGGCGAAGCGTCCTGGCTCGCCTATATCGGGGCTGGACAGAACCCCCAATAGTGACACGTCGATTAGTGAATTGTCCGTTTTCGGTTCTCGAGAGGGCGCCGTGGCCGTCAGTTTCCAGGCTTTCGCCCGCCAGATTTGGGCCCGAGGTCGTTTTCACTAAACCACGTTTTGCTAAAGGGGGTTCTGTCCATCCCCGACTATAGCCCTACCAAACACTTGTCGAGAACCTTTTGTGGCTCCCACGAAATGTTCTTGGAGCATTTCTGGCGGAGCCTGTCTTGTTTTATCACACCAGGCTTATGTTATAAGACCATTGTTTTTGTTCTTAGAACATTTCTGGGTTCTAAGAACATGTCGTGGTAGGACTATAGGAATGCCGTGACGGCCGGTCCCTGCTCAAAGGGCGGGGCGGTTCGCTCGGCTGCCCGCACAGGGCTTATGTCGCTGCGATCAATCCGATGCTATATCGAGTTCGGCCAGTCCGATCCGATTCGGTACCGATTCGAAGAGGAGAGCACGCCATAAACATGGACTTTGTGCGTCCACGCGGATTTCTTGGATTCGCGCTGGGCCCCCCCATGGTGGCGCTTCCGGCGCAGTCCCTGTCGCGCTCCGCGCGCCAGGCAGGGGGTTCAGCGCGGATCCAAGAAATCCGCGCGGAGCACCCAAAGTTTATGTTTGTGGCGTTTTCTCTTGTTCTACCGATACCTTTACCCTTGCGTCCATTTTCCCTTGTCTCGGCCTCCTGGGAGGCCCTCGTCGCCACCGCTGGATCCGCCTCGAAGCCTTGGTCGGAACGCACCGCAGGAGAGGTCCATGGAGTAGCGGTGTCGGCACATAATATTTGATCTCCCCAAGTTCAGTCCGATTCGATTCCGATGTTGCGGCGATCTGATGCGGCCCGATGCTTGCACGGCATTGTTGTGCATCCTGGCGCAGCTGATGCGATTCGATTTCGTCTCCGTGCCGATGTATTCCGATCGGGCACACGTTCCGATCCGATCCGTTTTGCCGACTCGATGGTGGTTGACCCTGGCTGCACGCAAGGGCAGTGCTTCGCTGGAGTGGCCTTTTGTGAGCGGCTTCCAGGTGCAGAGGAGGAAGATCGGAAAACAAAATCTAGACGCCTCGCGTAACCCCACCAGTTTTCCCCCCGCGCACTGTCTCGGACGCCAGCGGGCCTCTCCAGGTCTCGGCCACGCGGGCGCCTTGGGCTGCCGTTGGCTCCCCGCTGGGATGTGGATTCTGAGGACCGGGCGCTGTGTGGTCCAGCCTGCAACGCCTGTACAGCCTTTGGTCTTCCCCCGCGCACTGTTTCGGCGGCACCGCACAGCCGGTCGGCTTGCGCAGGTCGGCTCGGAGTCTGGCGCCACCCCGGCGACTCACTCCCGCGCCTCCGCACATTCTTCTCGGCAGCCCGTTTACTTCGGTTCACGTCGCTGCGCCTATGTGCGTTTGCTTGTGAATCCAGTTCATTTTGTTCTGTGCATGTGCATCTGCGAGTTTGTCTTGCGTGTGCGAACTTGGCCGCCGACACTGGCGGCCTGCTCGCAAATTCGTTTCGTTTCTGCCACCCGGACGCCGCTTTCGCTCCTAGACCATCGCCTGGGAGCCGCCGACCAAAAAAAAAGTAACCCCACCAGCCCATCCAGAAACGATGCCCAGAGGAATTGCCTCGATCAGGGAAGTGGACAGCACACAGAGGAAGGGTCCCCCAGTGGAGGCCTCTTGGAGCGTCTTGGGTGCCTCGGAGAGCTTCTTGGGGCCTCTTGGGGGTCTCTTGGGAGCATCTTGGAGGCCTCTTGGGCGCCTGTTGGGGCCTCCTGGGCGCCTCTTGGGGCCATCTTGAAGCGCTCTTGGGAGCCTTGGGAGTGCTCTTGGGGCCATCTTGGGGGACATCGATCAAACAAGAAGCGAGCATTAGTTAGCGTTGCCCCTCGGGAGCCCAAACAATCGCCTCTTGGGGCGCTCTTGGAGCGCTCTTGGAGCGCTCTTAGGCGCTGTTGGGGCCGTCTTGGGGCTCTCTGGAGCCTTTCTTGGAGCCCCTCTTGGGATTTTAGAGCCATCTTGAGGCCTCGGATGGCCATCGGAAGCGAAAAGGCGAGAAAGCCAAACACACAGAATCATTAAGGGCTTCGCCCCATGCCGCCGGCCCCCTGTCTCGGATAATGGGAGATGCAAACGCTAAATCATGAGGTCTGGGCGCCGCCGTGAAGCAGTGTCAGGACCTGTTTGTTGTTCGACCCTGACCCTACGGATCTGCGTGAGGGGTGCCGCCGAATTTCACAAATTTGACAAGTCCCATGTGTTTGTGCGCCCTGATCCTACGGATCTGCGTGAGAGGTGCCGCCGAATTTCAGAAATGTGGCAAATCCATATTCTTTAGACCCTGACCCCGCCGATCTGCGTGAGGGGTGTCACCGAGTTTCAGGAATGTTGCAAATCCCATATGTTTTTGGACCCTGACCCCGCCGATCTGCGTGAGGGGTGCCACCGAATTTCAGAAATGTGGCAAATCCTCTTTGTTTTTGGACATTGACCCCGCCGACCTGCATGAGGGATGTCACCGAAATTTAGAAATGTGGCACATCCTTTTTGTTGTTGCGCCCTGACCCCGCCGATCTGCGTGAGGGGTGCAACCGAATTTCAGAAATGCGGCAAATCCCATATGCTTTTGGACCCTGACCGCGCCGATCTGTGTGAGGGGTGCCACTGAGTTTCAGAAATGTGGCAAATCCCATGTGTTTTTGTGCGCCCTGACCCCGCCGATCTGCGTGGTGGGGTGCCATCGAATGTTAGACATGAAGCACATCCTCTTTGTTTTTGAACCCTGACCCCGCCGATCTGCGTGAGGGGTGCCAGCAAATTTCAGGAATGTGGCAAATCCTATGTGTTGTTGGACCCTGACTCCGCCGATTTGCGTGAGAGGTGCCACCGTATTTCAGAAATATAGCAAATCCCATGTGTTTTTAGACCCTGACCCCGCCGATCTGCGTGAGGGGTGCCACCGGATTTCAGGAATGCTGCAAAATCCTATGTGTTTTTGCGCCCTGACCCTCGGGATCTGCGTGAGAGGTGCCGCCGAATTTCAGAAATGTAGCAAATCACTTTTGTTTTTGGACCCTGACCCCGCCGATCTGCGTGAGGGGTGTCACCTTGTTTCAGGAATGTTGCAAATCCCATATGTTATTGGGCCCTACCCCGCCGATCTGCGTGAGGGGTGCCACCGAATTTCAGAAATGTGGCAAATCCCTTGTGTTTTTGGACATTGACCCCGCCGATCTGTGTGAAGGGTGAATATTTTTACCCACCCCAGCAATTCAGAGCTCACGCTCAGGGCGTAGTAAACGTGCCCGTTTGGGTCCCCCCCTCGCGCAGTCCATCAACAGGGAACAGCATGCAGCAAGAAGCAGAACTGTAACAGTGGAAACTGGAATTTGCAACTGGCACAGGAAACTGCGAACCTTCGCCCTACAGCCTGGTGGCACCACAAGGGGGCCGGCCGATTTCTTCAGGTTTGGGCCTCTTCGGGGCCTCCTGGGGGAGCTCTTTGGCCACTGGGAGCCGTGTTGGAGCGGTCTTGGGGCATCTTGGAGCATCGTGGGAGCCATTATGAGACATCTTGGGGTATCTTGAGCCATCTTGGAGGTCATCTTGGGCTCCCCCAGGCGCTCTTGGAGTCATCTTAATCAGTGCCCCCCCAAGAGGCCAACAAGTGGCTAAAACCTTGGTCAAATCAAAGATTTGGCATTCTCGCCGAGGCCTCTTCGAGCATCTTTGGTGCCGCTGGGGCGTCTCTTGGGGCCTCTTGGGGGTCTCTTGGGAGCTTCTTGGGGGCATCCTGGGGGCCTCTTGGGGTTTCGTGGCCACCTCTTGGGGCCCTCTTGGGGCACCCTTGGGAGCCTTGGGGGCCATCTTTGGGCCATCTTGGGTAAGATCAATCACAGGAGGGGGGGCACTAATTCTTTACGCTTCGCGTATCCCCACCAGCCCATCTCAAAACAGCAACTCTTGCGAAGCATGCCGACAGTCGTGTTTTTTCAGGCGTGTTTCCGCCTGCCCCCGCATATCTCCCCTGTTCCTCCTTCCTCCCGCCTCCTTGTACATCCTCCTTGTGGTGGGAGCGGGAGAAGGACGAGGCGGAGGAGGAGGGAGAGAAAGCGCTCCTCGTGGTTTGAGTCGTTTGGGGTTTCTCGTCCTGGTGTGAGTCGTTCGGGCCCTTCTTCCTGGTGTGAGTCGTTCGGGCTCTTCGTGGTGTGAGTCGTTCGGGCTCTTCGTCCTGGTGTGAGTCGTTCGGGCTTCTCGTGGTGTGAGTTGTTCGGGCCCCTCATCCTGGTGTGAGTCGTTCGGGCCCCTCCTCCTGGTGTGACTCGTTCGGGCTCCTCGTGGTGTGAGTCGTTCGGGGCCCGCGTCGTGGTGTGAGTCGTTCGGGCTCCTCGTGGTGTGAGTCGTTCGGGCGCCTCGTCCTGGTGTGAGTCGTTCGGGCCCCTCCTTCTGGTGTGAGTCGTTCGGGCTCTTCGTGGTGTGAGTCGTTCGGGCCCCTCGTCCTGGTGTGAGTCGTTCGGGCTCCTCGTGGCGTGAGGCGTTCGGGCACCTCGTCCCCTTTTGGGGCGTCTTGGGGGCCTCTTGGCGGCCCCAGGGGCTTCTAGGAGCGTCTTGGGTGCCTTGGGGGAGCCTCTTCGGGCCTCTTGGGAGCCTCTTGGAGGCCGTTTGGGGCGTCTTGGGGGCCTCTTGGCGGCCCCAGGGGCTTCCAGGAGCGTCTTGGGTGCCTCGGGGGAGCCTCTTGGGGCCTCTTGGGGGCCTCTTGGGGGCATCTTGGGGGCCTCTTGGAGGCCTCTTGGGGGCCTCCTGGGGGCCTCTTCGGGCCATCTTGGGGCCTCTTGGTGCTTCCTGGGCGCTTTTTGGG